TTCAAAAATTTCTAAAAATATATGTAATAAAAAGGAAATTTTTATAAAGTCATTAAAAATATTGAAAACGAAAAATATATGTATATGTAATATGATTTCATAAAAAAGGAAAGTTCACAAAATAGTAATAATACATTTAAAAATATTTATAAAATAACATAAAATATACTTTTAGAGTAATAAAAATATTTTATAATTAGTATTATTGAATTTTTTATTTTTTCATATATTTAGTTGACTATAATATCTTTCAATTACAGAAAATTATCTATAAATTATATTTTACTTATATAATATTATTTTCAAATACAATCACAATTTTATGTAGTGCTTATTTTTAAGAGATATTAAAAAAAATTAACAATAAACATCGCTTGATCAAATAATTTTATCATTATTAAAATTATTTTTTTCTTAATATTCAATTTTATTTTAAATTTTAAATTTTTATGTTTGTGAAACTAAATATAACCATAATCAAAATACCAAAGAAAAAAATGAATTTTCCAATTTTAAGATTATTTAAAATAAATTTCAGTTTATATTCAATAAATCTAAAGCATAAAGTTATTTAGAATTTATAAATATTTTAACTATTGTAAATATTGATATGTGTTCATGAGGTTCCAAAAATGTATCAACTACTTATGCATGTAGTCTTTTATTGATCAAAGGATAACACAAAACATATTAACAAATGAAAATAAATATTAACCAACTCTTACAATTTTAGTTCTTTTGTAAATTTATATATATATGTATGAGACTTTAGAATATTGTTGTTATATTAAATTACGTATTTTGGAATCAGACACTTTAATTAATTGTTAATTCATTATAAGCACAGTATATCTTAAGTTATACATAATTTTACTAAAATATATTTACATATCTAAGACAACACCCACTATATGCAAATATGTAACTAATAAAAAATAATAAATTATAAAATATTACAGTCGAATTCAGAGATGCAATTCAATTTATCCAAATGATAACTAAATCAACCGTAAAAACAACAAAATCGAATAGATATAACATATATAAAATTAAAGTAATATAATATTATTAATATAAATGATACATACAAATTATAAATTAATTGAAAATTAAAACTAAACAGTAATCAATTATTATCATATATTTATTTTAAAAATATTTATACCCGTGCATGAGCACGGGAAAATCACCTAGTGTAACGCTGTAAAAGCGAAAGACAAAACCGGAAGTAAAACAAAAAGGATATCCGGAGTAATGTTCGGGAGTTTGAACCCGACGTGAATCGAACACGCAACCTTCTGATCTGGAGTCAGACGCGCTACCATTGCGCCACGGATCCGGATGATATAAGATCTCGCATATATGTAGATAACCATGATTTGTTATAAGTTCTTCAAATTTGTTGGCATGATAAGGTCTATTACATAAAAAATAACATTTAATTTCTAAATTTAAAACAACTATTTCAGGAATAGACAGAAAAATGTTATCTATTTACAATGAATGTCTATTTCTAACTCCCAAACAAAACTTGATAGTCAAGCAATCATCATTGGAACTGAGAAGTCACACTGATGAATGTATCTTCGGGACAAGGAATAGTTAAGCCACCCATTGGATGATCAAACCCAAACACTTCTTCAGATTTGCTCAGAAGAGCTTGAAACGAAGGCTGGCTCAAGTATGAAATTGGCACCACGTATCTCTTCTTCTGACTCTCTCCTACGTACACCGCAAGAAACCCTTTTGGTGCCGCCAAGGTTTCCCTTTTGCCTGTTGCCGCTCCAAGAATCTTCTTTGCGCCCAATAGACTTCTCATCAAAACCATCTTCTTTTTTGTCAAGTGTGATATTTTTTGAGGCTCCTGAATATGTATGAAAATATTCTTGTTACTGGATATATTGCTTGTTGTTTGTTAATGATAGAAAGAAAATGTTATGTGAATATATAGAAAAGTCCTTGAAACTTGTAGTCTACAAGTGTGGGACAGGCTAGTACAAAGCACCACATTGTTCTGTCTGCACCGTCTAAAAAGAAGCATTAATGCTAATCTGTCTATTTAGATAATGGCCATAGTTGATTCACAAGGGCTTGGTTTCTAAATGTTTTTGATCTTGATTGTATATATATAATCAAACAACAACTTGAATGGTGTCACAGACTTGTTGTTATGTTGTTGAGAAACTTCAGATCCCCACCTTTAGTTCTTATTAAATTCATTTAGACTAATCAACATAGAACATGAAAGGTAGAGCCGTGCTGGTCTTTGGTATTGACAATGGCGTATGTACTATCTAAATTCTTTGATAAAAACAAACCCTTGTGACTCATTTAGTTATCCATCAAGACAAATTGCATTAATGCATCTTTTCCATCAGTTCTTAAGACAGAACCATGTGATCTACTCTAGCCTGTCCCATGATCCAAGACCACAAGTTTCAAAGATTATCTTGAGAGATTTCAACTCACACATTGATCTATCTATATATATATATACACACATGAGTCATTCTTTCTATCATCAACCAAAAACAAGCAATTCAATAACTTTAAACTTCTATACATCTTCAAAAGCTTCAGAAGAATTCAAAATTTCAGCAAAATAAAAACAAATGGCTTTGGTGAGAAGTCTATTGGGTGCAAAGAAGATTCTTAGCCGCTCTGTAACAGCATCAGCCGCAACAAGCAAACAGGCAGCCTCAGCGGCGCCAAAAGGATTTCTTGCAGTGTACGTAGGAGAGAGCCAGAAGAAGAGATATATAGTGCCAATCTCATACTTGAGCCAGCCTTCCTTTCAAGATCTACTCAACAAATCTGAGGAAGAGTTTGGGTTTGATCATCCGATGGGTGGATTAACTATCCCTTGTCCTGAAGATACTTTCATCAGCGTGATGTCTCAGTTTTAGTGATATGATTAATAGATTATACACCATTTTGTTATAGTTAGGGATAGACTTGTTCCCTGTAAATAGAGGAGATTGTTTTTTTGCCTCTTTCTTGTTGAAAGAGTTATTCTATAATGTTTTGAAAGTGAATGCCATAGACAAGATCACGATTCATGTTAATACATTTTGGATCAACCATCGAAAAAGAAAGTGTCATACCTATCTGATTCTCTCTTTTTTTCTTCGTATTTGATCATTACATTTGGTGTGCCTCTGCATACTACTGTATTGACATGTGCTTTTAGCTTTGAGAATATGAAGAAAAAAAATAAAACTCACCAGAAAATGATGAACATGTTGCTTGTCCTACAAGCAATCCAGTTTTAAACAACCATGTGAAACTCTGTTCTCTGTACATCAGATTTCAACTCAGTATAACGTATCTTGGCTCCAAAATAATGTTCTTGCTATAAAAAATCAGACTTAGCTAATCTTTGTAAATAGATAGACACGTTTTTCTTTTTTCTTTTACATCTACATAGAGTTTGTTGCAGCGTGTGTAAAGAGTTAACTGAGTGATTATTGTCTTATTTATAGCTTTTGTCATTTGATCCAATGAATCCAAAACACTGAGCTGTTCGAGCCATACTGAAGCTGTTAAACATATGTCTAGTGAGTTACGGAGATGGTAATCTTCAGATTAAAAGCTAATTTGTTATAAGACATAAGGGTTTGTGTCTATCGAGAACAAAAACAAAAACACACACTTTCTCGTGCTACTAATATGGATACATAGACAATGATGTATGCAAAAATGATGAATATTTTCTCAGAAAACTTGCTGTAATTTGTATAATAGAAACCATTGTCTTTACATAGAAATTTGAGTAACTCTCTTTCACAAAGAAAGAGGAAAGGGTTAACATATATACATTGAATAACTTTATCTCTAAATATGTAAGTTTTTTCTTCTTCTTGAACATCATTATTGAAGCCTGGAAGTCACGTTAATGAAGGTATCCTCAGGGCAAGGAATCGTTAATCCACCCATTGGATGTTCATATCCAAACTCTTCCTCTGATTTACTGAGTAGATCTTGAAATGAAGGCTGGTTCAAGTATGAGACTGGCACAAGATATCTCTTCTTATGGACCTGGTCTTCACCAACGTACACTGCAAGAAACCCCTTTGGCGCTGAAACATTCCTTTTAGCCGCTACAGAAAGGGTAATAATCCTCTTTGCAATCAAGAGACCTCTGAACAAAGCCATTTTTTGTCGTCTTGAGAAATTGAAATTTGAAGCTTCTGAGAAGCAAATAGATGCTCAAATAATCAGATTCAAGGTTTGTATTGAAGAGTTGGTTCTGCTTTAAGATGTATTATATAGATTTATGAAAGACTTTAAAACCACCTTAGAATCATGGAAAGTATGGGACACACGCATACCTCTATTCACATGGTTATGTTTTCTAGATATGATAGAAGACAAGAAACGAAACCTAACGAGCATTATCTCTTTTGTTTTCTCTTGTCTGTATATGTCATGTGTGATACATATTTGTGGATATTAATCAAAGAACAACTTAACTTGTGACAGAGACTTGTTGTTCTGTTGTTGAGAGACTTCATGTCCCCATTTTAAATTCTGACTAGTTAAATCCAATTAGACCACATAGATGAGAGAATGTGATCACCACAGAACATGAAGAAGAACAGAAACTTTGCTGGTCTTTATTATTGACAATAGCAATATGTCTTACCTACAAACATTGAGAAAACAAGCCCTTGTGAATCTCATTTCATTTTTATTTTCTTGTCCCACACTCAATTAGTTTCCAGGTTGTAAAGACAAAACCATGTGTAACTCTGCTCTAGTTTGTCCCACAACACTTCAAGACCACAAGTTTCAGAGAAGTTCAAAACTTCTTCATTGATCTTTCTATATGTACACATATAAACATTACTTATTTTTTCCATACCATCAACCAACAAACAAGCAATATATCAATAACTTGAATCTTTTCATACATCTTCAGAACCTTCAAAGAGATTCAGACTTTTAGACAAAGAAACAAGAAAATGGCTTTCGTGAGAAATCTATTAGGTGCAAAGAAGATTCTTGGAGCCGCAACAAGCAAAAGGGCAACCTCGGCTGCACCAAAAGGGTTTCTTGCGGTGTACGTAGGACAGAGCCAGAAGAAGAGATATGTGGTGCCAATATCATACTTGAGCCAGCCTTCATTTCAAGCTCTACTGAGCAAATCTGAAGAAGAGTTTGGATATGATCATCCAATGGGAGGATTGACGATTCCTTGTCCTGAAGATATCTTCATCAATGTGACTTCTCGGTTGCAGTGATGATTATCCAACATATTGTTCTTCAAGTTAGAGATAGACTTAGTCCCTTGTAAATACAGGAGAATTTTTCTTTTTATATATTTCTTCTTGAAAGAGTTGTTCTAAAACTTTGAAAAATGGAATGCCATTGTTACATTTTTGTTCGATCATTGGAAAACTATAAGAGAGTAAGTATCATCCACTGAAGTCTTTTATCTAACAAAGAAGAGATTTAATCCAATGTTGTATCTTCTTCACTCTGTTTTGTTCTTCTATCTATCAAATCTCAAAGACTGGAGTATTATATAGAAAGATATTCTTGGTGAAGGAGAGAGACTTGTATTTTCGTTACTCAGAACTAACATAAATAGTGAAGATCAGTTCACAGTAAAAAAAAATCCATATCTTCAATGATGATTGAAAGAGAGAATCATGTGGAAAAAAACTGTTTGCGTAGACAACAAGTTTCAACTCATTTCATTGATTCATCTGTATGTTCTAAAACAAAACAAACGCTCCATATCGTTCACACTCAAGCAATCCAAGCTATCAAGATAAATTTATATTTTCTAGAAAGCTCTCTGCAATTACATAGACTATGCTTACACAAAAAAATGCTATTCACTTTGAGCTTTGTAACCTCTTGGAACAACTCTTTTCTCAAAAAAGAACGAGGAAAAATGTTGACGTATATACTCACATTGAAAATTCTATCTCTAACTCAGGACAGAAAAAGTTAGATCTCTTAAAACCACCCTTTTTTTTTTGGACCCCGATTGCCCAGCCCTAGTTAAAACCACCCTTTTTTTTTGTAACACATTCTCATAAGATAAATAAAGAGGCCTCAGGCCCAAGTCAGCCCAAAGGGGTTTTAAACAACAGAAGCAGAAAGAGTACGTTTAGCTAAGCTATCGGCTTCCACATTGGAAGACCGAGAAACATGGAGGAAATTGATAACGAAGAAAACAGAGGAGATATGTTGAATATCTTTGATGATACCAAAGATCTCCTTGATTTGTATGTCGTTGTTGATTGCTCGAATGAGGGTTAGGTTGTCAGAGAACATCGAGATTTCAGGGATCTCTAGGTTCACTGCGGAGATGAGTGCGGATCTGAGGGCAAGCGCTTGTGGTCTACAAGTGTGGGACATGCAAGAACAGAGTTTCACATGGTTTTGTTTTCATGATATGACCAAGCAATGAAAGCCAATCAACATTATATGCACGTAACAAGGGTTTGGTTACTTAATGATGTGCTAGGACCTTCAGTTGCCTACCAAGAGAACAAGAAGGACACATTCATTTTCAAATGACATGATCTCTTGGAGTGAAACTTGAAACGTAAGCAGGACTTAACTTGTCAGGCCGTCACATCCATGTGATATCTCTGCAAAATAAAACTAATCAAACCACCACTATCTCAGAGTGATCATACGATGAGGCCTTATGAAATAAAAATGTTGGACTATGGCTTGACAAAGCATGCGTCAGTACATATTAGCTGAGATCTCTGTACCAGAAAAGAGAGATCAAGATATCTTCAAGTGCTATGTATATCTATAAAAGAAGGGGGGAAAAAAAGATTTAATGGCTTTCAGAGTTCTTCGTGTGGTGCAACCAATGCAAAACTTCAGGCAAGCAAAATGTTTGCAACCTCAAACTCCAATGTTCCAAAGGGTTAAACTTCGCGGTGTACATTGGGGAGAGCCAAAAGAAATCCTCATCCATCCTGAGCCAACCAATGTACTTCGCGGTCGAGATACTAAGAAAAAGGATCCTCATCCATCCTGAGCCAACCTCATCCATCCTCTGCCTTTCTTAGTATCTCTTCTTTTGGCTGGGAAAATAGTGATATCATTCCTGAGCCAACCATCTTTTCAAGAGATGCTAAGAAAGGCAGAGGATGAATGAGTAAGACACAAACAATCCCATACAGTCAAAAAACCTTTGCTGATTCTCACCTCCCATATCCAAAACACACATCTCACTCTATACACTCTGTTTTTCTCACCCTTATATACACATAAAGCTCTTCCCCCTAAGACTAATGCAACATTTCTCTTCGCATTTCAGCCAGTTGCAAGAGATCTAACCTCCTAAAACTAACTAAAGTTTAACCCTTTGGAACATTGGAGAATGTGCAATAAAAATGCTTCCTTTAAGTTTTGTTTCCTCTCTCTCTCTCTGTATGTTTTGAGATAGTGAAGGTTCCACATAAACTAAAAGCAGAGAGAGAGACAAGACTCATGTGACTTATATGTCAAATAAAAACGCTTCCTTTATAACTTTTGTTTCCTCTCTCTCTCTCTCTCTCTCTCTCTCTCACGCCATGGACGAGACCCAAATCGCCTCCCTCCTAAAATCCTCCTCCCTCTTCCCAATCCCACAAAGCCTCAAACTTTCCTACGGAACAGCCGGATTCCGCGGCGACGCGACGCTCCTACCCTCCACCGTCCACAGAGTCGGCATCCTCTCCTCCCTCCGCTCCCTCAAACTCAACTCCTCCACCATCGGCCTCATGATCACCGCCTCCCACAACAAACTCTCCGACAACGGCGTCAAAGTCTCCGACCCATCAGGCGAAATGCTCTCCCAAGACTGGGAGCCCTTCGCTGATCAGATCGCAAACGCTTCTTCCCCTCAAAAGCTCGTGACTTTGATTAACGACTTTATGAAAAAAGAAGAGATTTTGATCGGAGGAGAGGGAGGAAGGGGAGAGGTTTGGTTAGGGAGGGATAGTAGACCTAGTGGAGAGTCTTTGATCAAAGCTGCTGAGATTGGAGTCTCCTCTGTTTTGGGATGTGTTGCTGTTGACAAGGGGGTTTTGACTACTCCGGAGTTGCATTGGATGGTTAGAGCTAAGAACAAAGGTCTTAAGGATACTGAGAAGGATTACTTTGAGAATTTAACGACGTCGTTTAAGTGTTTGATTGATTTGATCCCAAGTAATGGTAACAAGATTAGCAAGTTGGTTTTAGATGGGGCTAATGGTGTTGGTGGGGTGAAGATGGAGGAGTTAAGAGGGTATTTAAGTAATTTAGATATCGAGATTCGTAACACAGGGAGAGATGGTGGTGTGCTTAATGAAAGTGTAGGTGCTGACTTTGTTCAGAAGGAAAAGGTTTTGCCTTTAGGGTTTGGGGTGAAGGATGATGTTGGGGTGAGGTGTGTTAGTTTTGACGGTGATGCTGATAGGTTGGTTTATTTTTACGTTACTTCTGGTGATAATAAGATTGAGTTGTTAGATGGTGATAAGATTCTGTCTTTGTTTGCTCTGTTTATCAAAGAGCAGCTGAACACTCTTGAAGGGAAGGTGTTGTCTCGTGTTGGTGTTGTGCAGACAGCTTACGCAAACGGTGCGTCTACGGATTATTTAAAGGGGTTGGGTTTAGATGTTGTTTTTGCTAAGACTGGTGTGAAGCATTTACATGAGAGAGCAACGGAGTTTGATGTTGGGATCTACTTTGAAGCTAATGGTCACGGGACTATACTCTTCTCGGAAGGTTTTGTATCGTTGTTAGTTGAGAAGCAGAAGGAGATGAGTGAAGGGTCTGATGAGTATAATGCGGTGAGTAGGCTAGTGGCGGTGAGTAATCTGATTAACCAAGCGGTTGGTGATGCTATAAGTGGGTTGCTATTGGTTGAAGTGATTTTGAGACATATGGGGTGGTCAGTGCAGAAGTGGAATGAGTTGTACAAGGATCTCCCTAGCAGACAGGTTAAGGTTGAAGTTCCTGACAGAACAGCGGTTGTGACCACGAGTGAAGAAACTGAGGCTTTGAAACCTTTGGGGATTCAGGAGGCTATTAATGGTGAGATTGAGAAGTATCAGCGTGGTAGAGCTTTCATAAGGCCATCAGGTACAGAAGATGTGGTGAGAGTGTATGCAGAAGCATCCACACAAGAAGATGCTGATTCTTTGGCTAGTTCTGTGGCTCAGCTCGTCAAAAGCTTTCTTGGTTCAATCTAAAGGTCCCATCTGAATGAGTCTTTGCAATGCTGATGGGAGATCTTTCTTAGCTTTCACATTGCTCTTGTCTTTCCTGTTCTGTTACTTGAGAGTTGTTTTGTTTCTCTTCTAGCTTTTCTTCTGCCTTATCTTTTCAATAAAGTTATAAAACTGGAATGTATTTTCTTCTCTTGAAATAGTATAAGTAAGAGATCGTTTTTAAGGACTCAGTACCGGGTACTACTTATGTAAGATCATAACAATGGTGTGTACTTGAAAATGTTGATGCTTTAGTCTCTGGCTTAAGAAGGGAACTTAGCACATGCCTTTGTCTTCCTGTCTATCTCTCAACAACTTTGTCGCTGAATGTCATGTATGACAATATTTGTGGATATAATCAAAGAACAACTTAATCTGTGAAATAGACTTGTTGTTCTGTTGTTGAGAAACTTCAGGTCCCCACTTTAAATTCTCATTTAACTAAATCTATTTAGACCCAAGTATGAGCACCACAGAACATAAACTTGCTGGACTTTATTAGTGACAATAGCATGTCTTATCTAAAAAACATTGAGAAAACAAGCCTTGTGAACTGCATATGGACTTTGTTTTAGTTTATTGTCCTACACTCAACTAATTATCTAATCAGGACAGATTCCATTAAACTCTTAACTTTTCGAAATGCTGAAGACAGAACCATGTGCAACTCTGTTCTAGTCTGTCCCACGTTTCAAGACCATAAGTTTCGAAGATTTTTTCAGAGATGCTTCAACACATTCTCTGAGCTATATATAATACACATAAACCACTCTATCAATCATCAACCAACAACAAGAAATCCAATAAATTAACTCTTTTCATACATATCTTCAAACTTTCAGAGAAAAGAATATAGAAATGGCTTTGATTAGAAGTATTTTGGGTGCAAAGAAGATTCTTAGCCTCTCTGCATCAGCAGCTTCTACGAGTAAAAGAGCAACCTCAGCGGCGCCAAAAGGGTTTCTTGCAGTGTACGTAGGAGAGAGTCAGAAGAAGAGATATCTAGTGCCAATCTCATACTTGAGCCAGCCTTCCTTTCAAGCTCTATTAAGTAAATCTGAAGAAGAATTTGGGTTTGATCATCCAATGGGTGGCTTAACGATTCCTTGTCATGAAGATACTTTCATCAATGTGACTTCTCAGCTTCAATGATGATGATGATTATCCACCATTTTTGTTCTTTGAATTAGAAGTAGATTTATTCATTGTATATATATGAAACTTTTCGATGATGTAAGAGATTGAGTTCCTTTGTCATTTAAAACGATCATGGCAGGCAATACATGTTAATCAGTCTTTGAAAACGTAATACCAACACTGAACCGTAACTATATTTGATTCTCTCTAATAGATATAACTGTGGCTTATGACATCCGGATCCGTGGCGCAATGGTAGCGCGTCTGACTCCAGATCAGAAGGTTGCGTGTTCGATTCACGTCGGGTTCAAACTCCCGAACATTATTCCGGATATTCTTTTTGTGATATCCTCCTCTTTTGATGCGTTTCATCCGGTTTCTCTTAACCAATATACATTTCAATTTAATCCAATCATCACATTCACATCAATTCCCAAAATACAGAACCAATGGAAACTAAGGTAATCTGACAGCAGTGGCTCCTTTTTAGCATCTACGTAAGCAGTAGAACTTTAAAGGTCAAATCTCAAAAGTCAATAGTAACCATTGTACCAAGTTTCATTTAGTTGTCATCAGGTATCTGCCACAGTTCTTAGATTCATGTTGTGCTCTATTGATGATGTTGACAATCATGATCAGGAATTGTTGCTAACATTTTGAAAAGCAGAGCAACCCCCATTTTTTCATTCTTTTTTCTAGTGTGAGAACTGTGAAGTAACTCATTCTAGGTATTGATGCTGCTTGTGGGATCAATGAAGTATCCACACCAAAGCCACATTCAGTTTTTAGTCTGTACATGTACATCAGAGACCATAACAGGTAGTGAAACTGTATACTGACTTACTGTTGGAAACGCAAGTCATGATAATGTAAAACCAGTACGTGACCTCAAGTTTTATTTGAATCACTATAGTTTCAAACAACACTGCAAAGTGCAAACCGTGGAAACCATTGAAGATCTGAAGGTAACAATATCTAGAAACAAGAAAACGATATGATTACACAAGTAGAGAGGATTTTCAATGCTGAGACCGTAAGTCCTAGTAACAGAGTGCTACCAGAAACAGGGTTCAGTCCATATATCTTCCAAGGTTGCAAGAGAGCTACCCGAATCTTTCTCCACATCACGTGATACAACGGTGTCTTTTAAACCAAGCTATCCTCTCATCCATGTGTTCCTGTAGGAGGAATTGTCGCGAAGAGAAGCATCGTGGGGCTTGTATTCCATAACATAGGAATGAGGCAGCTTCAAATGCCGCTTGATTGAGTCTCTCAAACCCATCACTGCCTGTTCACGGAAAGACATTGCACTCTCTAATTACCAGCCCAAAGAAAGGAGATAAACAGAGAAATGTTATTGTGGATAGTTTTACTCACCTGATTATCAGAAGCATTACGATTCCAAACACTAATGATGTCCTCGTTGAAGCGGACACTCAGTACTGCCCCACAGATGTTGTCAGCATCATCAAGCTGGTCGCCTACCAACGCAAGAAGCTGACGAAACAAAAAACAAATAAACGGAAGATGGACTCAGATACACAAACATAAAAGACAGACAACTTAAAAGAACATTCACAAAAACCTCACCTCTAAAAGTATGAAAGATGGACTCAGATAGACAAACATAAAAGACAGACAACTTAAAAGAACATTCACAAAAAAACCTCAACTCTAAAAGTATGAAAGATGGACTCAGATAGACAAACATAAAAGACAGACAACTTAAAAGAACATTCACAAAAAAACCTCAACTCTAAAAGTATGAAAGATGGACTCAGATACACAAACATAAAAGACAGACAACTTAAAGAACATTCACAAAAACCTCAACTCTAAAAATATGAAAGATGGACAACATAGAAAACATTTACAAAAAAGTTTCCTTTTAAAGGATGTGAATACTAAATAGAAGTGGCCACTTAATCTTTTTTAAAAAAAACTAACCAGATCCTCCCAAAAGCGAGCAGAGACAACTTTGGAGAAACGTATGATCCACTTTCCTCCATTGCAGTTGGCAGAATCCTAATGGAAATAAACTTAGCTTCTTGTAAGAGATACAACTTTCAAACTTACATACGTAAACACATACATACCTCCCACAAAGGCCGGATCCCATCCTTGAAGAAATGAAGATCAGTAGGACTAGGCAAAAGAGAAGAACGAGCAAGGTGACAGTAACAGGCCCAAAACCCTTCAACCTAGTAAGTAACCAAATCCAAAACCCTCATAAAATCAACAACAACATAAGATTCCAAACACCTCTTCAAAGAAATGTTACTTTCATTAGTAAGTTAAGTTTTCGAGAGCTGCTTACAGTGCTGAAATCAACAATCTTCTTAATGTTATCCTCATAAGATGTCTGGCTCCTAACTCCTGGTGTGCGACGTGTGTACCAAATCGCAAACTTATACTTCAAAATTCCCAAAAAACACGTAGAGACACTGTGAGTTAGTATTAAGACTAAGAATACTAAACAATGGTAGCAAAAGATCTCATCTTTGCTAAAATCACTATCGAATCATCTATTTGCAAAAACCTAATTTCACAATAAAAAAATAAAGATTCAAAATAGGAAACTTGGATGCACACAAGGAGCTAAATTTCAGCTAAGGATCAGATTCAAATTGGATTTAAAGGATTAGAGGATTAACCCGTAGAGGATGGAGACCAGCTTTGAGGTCGCGAGAGTAACGTTCATCGGAAAAAGAGTCGGACTTTATGTTCTCCATGTTTCCTGATTCTCTGATCTCATCGTCTCTCCTCTCCGTAATCTCCATTTATGTTAGCTCGATTTTTAGTAGATTCAAGCGTTCGGATTCAAAGCCCTAAGTATCTAATCTAAACTGGAGGAAGAAGAAAGAGCGTGTGAGAGAGATGATGAACCTTTTGAGTACTTTACTTTCTCTGTGAAAGGTCAAAACCTGGAGAAAATTACCCAATGGGCCGTAAAGAGTCTACCTAATGGGCCTTAATTGGGTTTCACTTAAGTCGATTTTGGCGGGTTTCGATCTGTTATTTTTCTGACAATAATAAAAAACTTTACGACATTCTCACGGATCTGGAGACTTTCCCCTATAGGATATTATTTCTCAGACAAGATTTTTATCTTCTGTTCTTCTCTTTTTTCAAGTTTTGTTCTTCTTGCCCTCGTAGTAACCTTTGTTTTTTCCTTTCGTAATCATTTGCTTGAGCATTTTTGTGTTCTTGTCCTCGAATTCTGACGTGATTTAATCCCTAATCAAAACTTAGCGATTTAGGAAATTTGATCTCTCTCTGTCTCTGTTTTGCAATAGATTTAGATTATTCTTGGTCTTTGTTTCATCGTAATATAATGAGTTTCTGGGTCTCCATGCTCATCTTCCTCGTCTGTGTGATAATTGGGTCTTGCCTACCTTCCGTGTTGGCTTCCTCCGTTGACGTTTGCGATCATCATGAATTCGATGTGTTCCGATTCGGAATCGACAGAAAGTGTCCTCCTTGTCTCTATCCAAGACCTCCTTTGGAGGTAACGTAATCATTTTATGCTTCAAAAGTTCTCGTGATTTGTTAGATATGCGATTTTCTGATTGAATTTGCTTTGTGTTGGATATGTTTGGTGTGAGTGTCGGTGTTTGTGGCGTTTCTATGTTTAAGAGTTTGATTATGTGCTTCAAGCAAGAATAAGCTGTTTTTTGCGTAGACTTACCATCTCTTGAAGCTCAGATTATAACTCTTGGACTTGTGTGATATGCGATGATCCAGTTTTGTTTGCTTTGGCATGTCCTTGTAGTCTTGTGGTGGTGACATCTGACAACAAAAGTCTTAATGTTTAAAATGCAGAAAATGTGATATAGCGAAATTAATAAATGTTCGTGTGTTTTTGTGTGCTTATCCATATGGGTATGGACTTGGATGTGGGCTTGTTTTTCTATCTTAAAAAGGTATCTAAATATTTGTGTTTTTGCTAATGCAGGTGGATGGTGACTTGCTAGACAGACTTATGGATGCACATAACCATGGAAATGCTTATACTTCCATTCTATTTTATTCCTCGCGGTGCCCCTTCTCAAGTACAGTACGGCCAAAGTTTGAAGCTCTGAGTTCAATGTTCCCCCACATAGGGCACCTGGTTGTTGAGCAATCTCAGGCTTTACCATCGTACGAACCAACTTCTGCTATAGAGTATTATTATATTTCCATTAGCATCTTCTTTGGTCCATGTTAATTGATGTCACTATTGGCAGGGTTTTTTCTAGGTATGGTATCCATAGCTTGCCTTCAATCCTGATGGTGAATCAAACATTGAAGATGCGATACATTGGTCCAAAGGATCTTGCATCCCTGATTCAGTTTTACCAACAAACAACAGGTAAGACGTGAAGGCATATGGACAAACAATCAGTTTCTATAATAAGCTTCATTCGTTGTATCTCTGTGGCTTTCCAGGTCTTAAACCAGTCCAGTATGTGGATGAAGCTGAACCAACGAGCTTGGACAACGATGTTAACCTTATCACATGGCTACACAACGGGTCATCTCTCAGAGAGATAGCAGAAAGAGAGCCTTATTTGGTGCTTTCACTGATGTTTCTGTTTTTGAAACTGGCGATTTTGATCTTCCCAATCATGGCAACGCGTTTGAAAACGTTATGGGCTTCTTATGTTCCGCAACTGAGCTTGGGAATACTTGGTGAGACTAGCCAACTCTTTGGCCGTGCACTGCACATGATCGATGTGAGGAGGCTATGGATTAAACAGAGACTTAGCAAGACAAGGGACTTCCAAGAGAGAGCAAAGAATGCACTTGCATCTGTCTCCCTAGGAAAATCTACTTCACAATCAGCTTAATGGGTACTGATGAGCTTAGTTAAATTTTACTTTTCTTTTTGTGGACGTTCTTGACTCTGTATGTAAATTATGTTTTGCTTATTTGTGAATATTTTGAATCTTCCTTTCTTGAATATTCTTATTCTTGGTCCACTTTGGATACCTTGCACATTTTTTTGTCTACATGGCCTAATATCAACGGTCTTGGTTTGATTGGTGTTAGAGGTGGACACTTGGGTCGGTATTATATGTGGAAGAAACCCATCGACTACTGGATCACTCTGGTTCACTTGTTGGAAGTTTTGTTTCCATGTCGTTTCTGTGTACGTGTGTTGACAGTTTGAATCTCTCTGTTAAAATCTTTTCCTATTACGAATCTTGAGTTGAGAAGTTTTTAATAACAATGTGATTCTATCTCTTTTTCATACAACAATATGCAATTTTTGAATCTATTTTCTATTACAGTTTTAATATGGTTTTAAGATCTAGCTTTTTCTAAAGCCCAAAATCAGGGAAGCAACCTCCTGATTCTCTCTTGTTTATAAAGTAGGCAACAAAAGGCAAAAGCAGAACAAAGAGGTGAAGGAAAAAGTAAAAAAAAAATGGAGTTGGTAAAAACTAAATGTTATGAGTAGTGTTTTGTAGATTTATAGTTTTTCAATTTTGATGTTGTATCTTAACATTTTGTGATGAGTTATTAGGTTTTCCAAAAGTTAATCAAAGTATTTTTTTCAGTAATGAAGCTTTTATTTCACATTTAATTCACTGGTTTTGTGAAAGAAGACTAATGCTAAGTATTTGTGACCATCTCTTCGTGTAATTGCAAGGAAGCAAGTACTGTCTTTTTATTACACATGTGACTTGTAGTACACGTAATCTCTCCTTTTCCTTTGGAATTGTTTGTGAACGACAAAAGTTTGTTAATGTACCTGAAAGTTTATACAAAAGCTGATGCCTGAAGTCTCTCGTCTTCTCTAGTCCACTAGAAACACGTCTCAAATCCATAAACTCAAAATACCATCCAACTTTCATTAGCAGAAACTTAGTACAAAGGATTCTTCATGTCAAACTATAACATGATTTCATCACCAAAAAAATATTCTTATAAAGTTATAACCAATGGTTGAGAAGGGAACTTGTCAAAGAAGACAATCGATACTTCTTAACGTGGGTCCAAAAAACAGTAACATCTTCTTTTTGTCACTTCATGTGTAAAGAGATAAGCTCTAATAAAAGACTTACCTCACCGCCCAAACCTAAAACAAACATTTAAGTAAATTTACAGTTTCACCTATATTCTTTTAATCTCTTCTTCTTCTTTTTCTTCTTCTTCTTCATTGCTCTATTAAAGGATCTAGAAACCTTCTTCACAACAAAGAGAGAGAGGTCTCTCTCAAAACCAAGCTTTTTTAAAAAAAAATTATATTTTCTTCTTACTCTGAAGAGATGGATCTTGAAGATTGGGAACTACTCCCCAAAGATCTTGACCAAGACGAGGATCATTATGCAGAGGTGATGATCACTAGAAACACCAAGAAAAGCTTTGACATGGATTACTTCATCTGCCCAACACAAGATTCTGTCAGATCAACCGTGGTCCCCACTCAGCTCCTCCATGTTCCCATAACTTGGGAACCCGTGTCAACCGTGGAAGACACAGACCACAAGAAGAACCAGGACTCTGTTCCGTCGCCGAGATTAACCTTCAAAACAGACGAGGAAAACGAATTTGTCGACATGAGAATAGACTTGCCAGAGAGGTTCACAAGTCCTTTGCCTCAGAACGATGAGAAAGACTCTGTCTCAGGAGAAGAGTACGATGATGAGATGGGAACAGAGGGTGAAAATGAGAACATATGTGGTGAAAAAGTGAATTTGTGGAAGATGGGTCTTCATGGGATTGGAGCTATATGTTCATTTGGTGTTGCTGCTGCTGCAGCCACCTTCTGTGTCTTCTTCCTTGGACACAACACTAGTATCCAAGGTTGCCGGAACAAGAACAAGAACCAGATCCTTAGGTTCCAGATTTACTCTGATGACAATAAGGTAAATATTTCTATTTTAATTAGGTTAGTGGTGTGCTTTTTACCAGATAGCATTAGTTCAAGTTACATTGAATCTTGTCTCATGAATCCAAATTTTGATATGTTTGGAAAAGTCAAATACTATTTACCATTGATTATTAAGTTTTTACTGATTTTTTTTTTGACTGAATTGATTATTAAGTTTGCTATGCTACTTTTATTGGCAAAGTGTTGTAAAGTTTAAATCTAAACTTGCACAAATTTAACTTAGTTAAAATGGAAGATGTTGATCAGAAAAGTGGTTTGTGTCTTTGAATCGACCAAAGTGATAAGGATGTTTTTGGCGGTGTAGCTGATTACATGTCTAAGTAAATTGAACAATAAATAATTGCTGGAGAAGATACTTATTTTGTCTTTACACGTTTCGTGTTTATCTTTTCTTGCTTCAAAGTCACACTACACGTTTTAGAAAACGTCATTGTTCCTTGCATAATTGCATTTACTTTGATCCTCAAGGTATTTTATTTTGAGATCGAGTTGGTCGATTCAGTAGCGGGTCTGAGAGGAAACCAAGGAAGGCTAGGCTTCTGACCTTTTTTGTTTATGTAAAATATCGGCCAAAATATTTCATAAAATATTAAGTAGTTTAGTGGTTAATAAAAGTCAAAATTGAGATATAGGTAATGGGTTCAGTTTCTAACTACAACAATAGGCCATCTTTATTAATTACTTCCGGTTTATAAATATTCAGGGCCGGAACTGGGTAGATTAGTAGGCATGTAAGAACACTAATCAAACATGTTTCTACCCAACCAATCTTCTAAATAAGTCATATATCAGGGTTTTTCTTCTTTTAAATGTCCAAACTCGTTGTAATTGTATGAAGTTGATTTATATGAATTAGTAACATATGTTACACTATTGCAGCGAATGAATGAAGTGGTGAAGCATGCAACAAAGCTAAACGAAGCAATATCTGTAATGAAAGGACTTCCAGTGGCCAGAGCTCAGATATGTTATGGAGGATACTATGATGGACTTTGATAATCATATCCATATCCGTTTAGAATAATAAAAACATCAGATCCAAATGTTTAGTATTGTTTAAATTTCCAACAAGCTATATGCTCTTAAGAATTTAGGTAACTCAACAAAAGATGTTTGTAAATTCTACATTATTTGCCCGAATGCGTCAAGTTATTTGATGAAGAGAACCTAAGATTATACAAGTATTGATTTGGTTATAAAAATCGATCATGCATTAAAAATGTTCCTGATCTGATGAAAGTGTGTGTGTTTTATCTTTCCCATGATTGCCTCATGATTTGCTTGAAAAGAATAGTAAATAAAGAAGAAATGCCTGAAAGTTACAAACGTTTTTGATTGATTTTGTTTCCAGATTACAGACAAAAATATCAGAATTACAAAAAAAAAAAAAAAAAAAATCAGGGTAAGAATTAGAACAAAACAGAGGTGTGTTACTTATGAACTCCTCATCTAACGTATTATGAACCTTCCGTTAACTTTCTGCACAAGGAAGAGACGAAATTGTTGACCTAAATCATCTTCAATGAGTTTTATTCCCTCATGTGCTTGAGATTCCTCCACAGGTATTTGCCGCTGGCCATGTCCACGAACACCCAAAACCCTTTCTCCATCTTCTGTTTAAATCAAAAGAAAAAAATTAAAAAAAGAAAACACAGAAAATGAAAACCAGAATTAACGAAAAAGCAAAGTACCTTTTTGAAACAGAGTCCTTGTTTATCATTCAATTCTACAGGTGAGTCTTCGTCTGAGATGAGTTCAGGGGAAGAAGAACTCACCGTCTTCCACGCGAAATATCCGGCGAGAACCGCAGAGAAGAACACCAACAAGAATCTCAACGGACACATATTTTCCAAGAAGAAGAAAGGAAACTGGATTTTGATCACAAGAAATGACGAAAAGTCTAGGGTTTCGTGAGATTCTGGGAGAAAGATAAGCGAAAGAAAGGGAGAGATTTAAGGGGATGAGATTTACATCAGGGCTCTTCCTCTCTCTCACCTCTTCACTGCGCAAAAAAGGAAACGCGTCTCTGAATTTTTCAGCATGGCTTGGCTCTTTTGACATATACACGCATAATATTTCTTTCATTTTTATAAAATAGTCCCAATGTCTTTTATTATTTCTAGTTAAGTCCTTCAATTCTAAGATATTATCTTGGTTCCAAGAAATTTTTTTGTTGCACTTCAAAAAAACTTTGAATTAAAATATTCAAATGTGATAATATAAAGAATAAATATCAACCACAGAAGATTGTCTTAATTAAAGTTATTAAACAAATGTGAGACGGAAAATTGAGGGTGTGTTTGCATAACCGTGTAAAAAGTAAGGGGTCTATGTGGAATGGTTACTATTTATAGGGCAAAATAAATAAATAGATAGAAATAGTGGGAAAGTCTACAAGGGGCTGACTTCAACTACCCTCCTATTATTTGTATCGTCATGTTCATTTATATGATTGATAGAAGTTTTGTCAACGCGACGCAATTATAGAATTGTAAAACTGCTATTCAAAGTCTTAACTCGTTTTGGTGTACGCTTTTTGAGAGACACTCTAGAAATTGGCAACATCATCTGTAAAGCAATTAGTTGTTTACCATATCGAATGTTCGGATTTTTATTTAGATTTTTAAGAACTGAGTTATTTGATGAGTTTGTTTTTAATATTTTTCATACAAGATTTGTTGCCAAATATACGTATTGGTATCATGGTAATAACGTAAACCCGGCTACTATTCTCAGAGGCTCTGGGGAGTTTTGAGATTATCAAGTCTTTTATAAAACGAGACAATCTCTAAACTTTCTCCTCTACTTTTAGCCTAGAGATGGTCTTGAGTTCACAGATATGAGATTACTATTCTGTATGTAATAAAACAAGGAACTCTAATAACTGATCAAACATCTTACTCACTTGATAAAACATAGTAACAAAAAACTAGAATCTGGAAAAACAATCACCTCATTGTCATGGTTTCTTCTTAAAAGCAGTTTTCATTATCCAAGATTAAAAGCAAATATTACAAGCCAAAAGGCTAAAATAGATTTATTAGTATCCTCCTCTCCCTCGGCCACCTCTGGAGGAGAATCCACCACGGCCTCTGGGAGCACCTCTTGAGGAGAATCCACCACGGCCTCTCGGAGCACCTCTGGAAGAGAATCCACCACGGCCCCTAGGAGCACCTCTGCCTCTCCCACGACCTCCCATAGATTGTCCCCTGCAAGAAAAAAAAAAACATAAATAAGATTCTTTTACTAACACTTAAAACCCTAAAAGCAAGCTATGTTTTCTCCAAATAGGTTAAGAAGAAGTGTGGCCTTACTTTGGTTGTGGAAGGAACCTTGCTAGAGGCATTAACTTAAGAGGGTCGATGTAAAACTTATCCCCTTCAGAATATGAGGTAGCTACAATACCTTCCATCATCTTAACAGAAAACATCTGCAAAAAAATAAACCAATACTTTTTCACCAACCAGAGTAGTGAAAAGAAGAAACCACAAAGATAAAAAAGAGATTAAAACACATACAGATTCATTAATAGGACCAAAGATCTCATCAACTTTCCCAATCTGGGTCTTGTTCTCCAAGTAGATTGGAGCATTAAAGTGAGGGATCTTCTCTTGACAGAGCTTGGTCACAGCATCACCCTCACAACCATGCAGAAAGGTTGCAACTTCTGTTACATCCAAAGAGAGTAACCAATGTCATAAACAGAGACAAGTCACAAAGTTTGTTCCTTTAACTTAACTAAACACAAAGATGAATCTAACAAAGGGAACCCTAATAAGCTGGAAGCATTTCATTATTCAAAGCTGGGAACTTTATCAATAAAGTCTTAAGCTTGATGGTTAAAACAACTTAAGACAAGAGAAGAAAACGAACCAACGACTTCGCTGGGAGGTCCTTCGTCACGCCATCCACCACCACGACCACCACCAAAACGACCGCCTCCTCCTCGTCCGCCGCCGCCACCAAAACGTCCACCACCACCACCAAAGCGTCCTCCGCCATCTCTTCCTCCCCTACCTCTGAAGCTCCCGCCGCCACGTGGTGGTCTCATCTTCTGGCTTTATTTGTTCTTGAGCTGCGCTCTGCTCCTGAATAGGGTTCAGGGTTTTAGTGTAGAGAGGGTGTGACTTCTTGTTTACAAAAAATTTAGATAAAAAGGGTGGCTTTCTAGGGTTTTCAGCAATGACAGACCGGTTACTACTTAACCGGGAATCTAACGTGCATCGAATTGTTATATGGTTTGTTACCGGTTCGGTTAAATCATAACCAAGAACAGAGTGTCTCACTGGCTCACTGCCTTGTCTGTAACTGTAAGGAAAAATCGTTTTTTTTTTGAGTAGATTCAACATATTTGTCACATAAGGTGCCTACTATGAGTGATTAATAAAAAGATTTGAACATAACTGTTTCGTTTGGCTTGGGTTTGGTTTCTCACAATTTACTTATAAGACACTGAAAAAGAACACAGGAACAAATCTAGAGACGCATTGGAACAACGCAAATGGATGATAACAATGAAACAACTCAAATAAGCTCTCAAATCTTTCTACTACTAATTCAATCTTCTCTTTTGTTACTCGTACATACATACCAAGGACACACATCCTTTTCATTACATTTAACAAACAGGTTGCGTCTGGTTCTACGTCTTTGATTAATAAGCAGGTCCAGTTGTCTTTGGCTTTCTAAAATAACATAGGATGATAAGTGTGTATCAGCACACTGTCCTGCCATAGCATATTGATGCAATGTACAGATTCTTCGCCCATTTTTCCTGAAAAAATCAACCAATAGTCCTCAGATCCTATGTATATGGAAACAAAACAAAACAAAAGCCAAAAGATCTAATCTTTGTTTAAAACTAAAGAAACCCACCTTGACATGAGTACTTGGAAAAGCAGTGGTGCGGAGAGTCTCCTGAGTTTCATCCCCCATTTTACGCTTTGGTATGCTTAATATGAAAGCTGCCTGATCTGCAGTTGCTGCCATTGATGTTATTCTATACCCATTCTCCCACCTCCTGTGTATCCCATCGCTTGGGTACAAAAAGTCAAGCTCCACCACCTTTCAACGCAGAGTTTATCATATTAGACTATCAGGGGAAAATCAAACACCAGACAATAAAAATAAACAAAAATGTCGGAAACCTACCTGATCAGAGAAGCCAGAGTTCCTAGACATCACCACACCCCAACGATTACCAGCAGTTGTCATGGAGGTTACATGGAAATCTTCTTTCCACTTCTTATTTATCCACTTGAATGGAAATGAGTCGCTCACTTTGTATGACTGCTGAGAATAAGAAGTTCCTATACCAATTCACAACAAGTAGAAATTAAGTAATGAAGAACTTTTGTTATAAGTTTATTATTCACTAACACTAACCTTTTGACATAACAACTAACGAGCTCCCGTTATCTGAGCCAGCTATGGAGCTTATGTAGTAGTTCTTTTCCCATTGTTCCATAATCCAGTCCTGAAAAAAAAAAGCAAAATGATGTTACTAACTTGCTACAAACAGATTTGATTCCTAGTTGCTTCAACTGATTAGTACCTTGTGTAGGAAGACCGGTGACAATTCATAAACTTGAGAAGTGAATCCAGTTCCAGCATCCATAATGAGGGCCCAGAGATTAGCTGCTGATGCCACACAGCTAATCAAAAGGCCATCTTCAATTCCCTTCTGTACATGCTGGCGCAGCCTCGTCTCTCCGACATTGTAGTGATATCTACAAAAGAATTTTAAAAGATTACACACTTATGAAGAGCTTTCAAGTGTAATATGCAAAAACTATTTACCTCTGTTTCATGGGACGACGACCGTTATAGACTGAAATCCATTGAGTAGCAGGACTGCCGATTCTGATTTTCTTCTTTGGCTGTTCATCTTCTTCCAAATTGAGAAGCAGTCTTCCTCGTTTTTGCCCAACCTGTATATGCCAAGAGAAGCACATTCAGAAAATATTTGCTTACAAGTTTTAGAAAATAAGCATATGGACAAGGAAACAACCAGCAACCTTTAGAGCTCCATCAATTCTAATTGGTCTAGAGAGAGCGCATGGCTCAATAAGAGTATCGAAAAGAGAAATAAGCTTCCCATAGTTAGGCTCCTCGTCAAACTTCATATTAGTGACTGCCTCGAGGAATAGCTTAAACGGTGGTGGACAAAAACAGCACATCAGCTCAGCAGAAGTTGACATCTTTTTCTTGGAAACAAGAAAGCTCTTGTTATCACCCTGCAAAGACACCAAACAATAGATACACATAATTGACTTGAATGAAGATGTAATCGGATACATTACTGTAAGGACATGAGAAGGAATAAAAACAGACCTGGAAGCCTTGCCATGGCAATCTTCCCTTCAAGAGAAAAATTAAAGTATAAGCCAACGACTCCAGATCATCTCTCCGGCTTCCAGTACGACCTAGATGTGCATTAACACTTGCATACCTTATTGTTCCCCTGCATTTGAAACATTGTAAACATGTTAAAAAGTAGGATATATTTATATATATAAAGGAATTAATATACGCACACATTAATCACAATACCTGAACACATCAGGTCTCTGATCATATTCAACATGATGGCCTGTGTGCGAATCTTTCCATTTTGATGCTGAAACAAAGAAAAGATTATGTGAACATCGATGCAAACATCAAAGAAGAGAACCATTTTAAGTATCCTATTGTGAATATTGTAGCGACATAAGAGAAGGAGCTAGTACTGATAATTAAGGTTTTTCGTAGGGTATGTTACATAAGAAAAACTCACCGAGACCAAGATCGATAAGGTAGAGTTTTTTCTCATCAGCTGTTCCGGGTTGACCGAGTAAAAAGTTTTCGGGCTTCACGTCTCCATGGACAAACCTAGTTTGATATATGGATGGAACATGGCATGAAAATCAGCTCAACGAAAACATAGTGTGGTAAACAATAATTGAACGAAACTAAACGACCATTTCACTAACCCTTTCATATGAAATTTCTCAAGAATAGATATGGACTCAACGGCAATGCACGCTACCATGTTAGGAGACATCCTGCCACATGTCATGAACATGGATCATATTAAGAATTTTGCAAAGGGAATAAAGTGTTGTGAAAGGAGAAGAGTGCTTACGATTGCCCCGAAGAATTCCAAACATCCCAGAGACTTGGACCAAGCATGTCCATGACCTGAAATATTTTTTAAAACGCTTCTCAATACATAATAACATGGTCATTCTAAAGTATATTTAGTTTGTTAATAGTAAAATACATACAAGAATGTAAAAGTCTCCTTGACGACCCTTATGATGCACCGCAGGAACTCCATAGCAACCGTTGAGTGTACTTTACAACCAAAGGAGAGAAGAAACATATGAGATGAAACTAAGTTGATAAGAAAACCTTGGCATGAAATTAAGAAAAAATGCAGGTAAGTCTTACTTGTACACTTGCCACTCGTAAGGTGGGCCAAAATTGCATCCTTTGCTGTTTCGGTGCTCAAATTTCAGAGCCACCTGAAAAAGAAAACAATATTTCTTGTTTGTAAGATTTGACGTCTATAACCATTGTAAATCTTCAGTATGCTTTTGAACAACATACCTCAATAGCATCTGCTCCAATCCTATCGCTGCCGCCACTCACCCTTCTACCAACAAAAACTTGACCAAAGCCTCCCTTACCGAGTTTCCTTTCAGTCTTATAAACAGGAGAGCTTCCAACTTGTACCTATACATACACAAACACGAAATCAAAATCAAAATCAACATCTCTCACATGCAAAAAAGGCTCTGTGATTGAATGTCATAAAGATTAAGCATAAATTCTTACCCTTTCAGGGACTGGAGCTGAGCTTAAATCTTCTTCCACACCAACTACTTTCTCCGCACTACCACCTTCCATAGCGTTATCCTTATCAGCTGCCCCTTCGACTTGATTAAAAGCAGGCTCACCAACCGCAGGCTCTGCCTCTAAATCTATCAACCTGATGCCTCGACCCCTACCAGCAGCACCAGTGGGTCTTGGAGGAGCAGCGTTTCCCCTTCCTCTCCCTCTTCTCCTTGTTGCAGCCTGACGAGGAAGCTCAATATTTTCCGCCTGTTCAATCACCTGAGGGTTGGGTTGTCTCAATCTACGTGCTCCACTTCTTAGCTCCGGCATTCTTACTCCATACAAAGAGTAAGAAAATCTTTTTTTCTGTAAATGAACAGTTTACCTAACCTGCAGCACAAAGAGAGACATCAAAAGGTAACTACTTAGTCATTTTGTTCATAAGGTGAACGAAAACAATTTCATTTGGCATTTCAATCTTATAGAATACGAGAAGCAGTTGCTTCCACTTCTAGCTTTTTATTGACATTTCATATACAGTAGCAAGCGCCATATCAAACAGAGAAGCAATCAAAACACACAAGCAGAAGGTAAACAAATGTAGACCATAAAGTCATCATCTTTTTTTGCTTAAGAGTATCAAAAAAACATCTTTAATCTCTAAGAAGCCTTCAACATATTCATCAAAACACCATTAACAGTGATTCTCATTTTCACAGAACCACACAAAGATATTTATATATTTATTTTCTTTTAAAAAATCAACAGTTTGATACAAACGTATCTTCAGTCATCAACTAAAAGCAAAGATCTTTCACGGAAACACAAGCAAAATCAACTAAAAGATAGAAACTTTGAATCACACAACCAACGAATCTAAGCGAGATGTCAACTACTCGATGAAGGAATAGAGATGAACCTTTACAAAGGAACGATGATCGGACTCTGATGACGGTGGAATCGGTTGGAGAAAAGACTAAAACTTTCAGATCTCCTTTTTTAGAATGAGAAACTGAGAGCTTCTGCAACTAGCGGCGATTTAAATGTTAAGAGAGAGCTTTGGAGGTGTGAAGCAGCACACATATCGAGACGGTGATTAGTAGATTTTAGGGTTACAAATAGTGAAGATGGAGATGAGAGGAGATGCAGATTTGGGGACGGATTTTTATGTTCTCTTTACAAGGATTGGTTTCACTTTTAGAAAAAATACTTTGGTCTTGACTTGACCCCCTAAAATTTAAAAAAAAAAAACTTAAGATATATTAGGTGAAGATTTTTATTTTTCTCCTTATTTCTTTGAAAAAACTATATTTTTGGTTTAAAAAAAAATTATAGAACTTTAGAGTCTAATATTTTTAAAAAGAAAAAAAAAAGTTAGGCCATTTCATTTTCATAAGCAATTAATTGGAAAGGCATATCAACCGAATAATGTGGGCATTGTGAGGCCATAAGACGTGACTTCTGTTTCTTATCTAGTAGTGGTGGTGCGTGGATCAACAACATTCAAGTGATTGTTTGCTAATGGAATATTCCTCAAATGATTATGGTTTAGTGAACAGATTACTAGAAAAAATCTGTTTGTTTTGTTAATGCATATATGCTTATCTTATATAATAAAGCTAGGTTTAGTCTCTTCTTAGGCCCTCCACATCAGATTTTAGCATGGGGCAAAAAATGCCATGTCAGCACCCAAAATTAAATTGTACCGGATTTGGTCGTTTGGTTCTTTGGCATTTGGTTAAACATAACTTGATTTTGTCGATTGGTCATATTGTATCTGATCAAAAGATTTGATGTTGGGCCTCAAACTTTATGTTCTAAAGGCGGCCCACCTTCTTTAGGGTTTCTGTGCTATCATCGATTTCTTCTGCTTTTGCCTCATCGGTTCTATCGGCGCCTCCGGCTAAACGTAACCGACGCTTCTCACCATTAATGGGTGCTTTACTGTC